TGAGCAGGCGGCTGGGGAAGCGCCCAGGAGGGCTGGGCTGAACAAAGGGCTTTCAACCGGCATTTTGCACACGGTGTGAATTCCCAGAAGAAAAGGGAGTCGGGGGAAAATCGATGTTTGCTGAATAAGCTTTTTTCAAGGGGTCTAAACAGGTGGGCTCTTTCAGGTCAGATTTGCTGGGGGAGATGCAGGAGGCAGCAGGCAGGCAGCTGTGGTCCTGCCCGCGGCCCCAGAGCCAGTCCCCGTGCAACCGGTGGGACTTCGCACAGGCAAGTCTTCCTGCGAGGGATCCTTTGAAAGCCTATCCTGACACATGCCGTCCAAGGCACTAATCATCGATGTTTACTGTATAGCTCATATGTGCTGCACCTGGCAACCAGCAAGGGAGCTGAAGGCAGCACGTGTTTTATATTTGAGTTGTTACTTAAAAAATCAAATTATTTGCATCAGTTTTTGACATTGTTTTTTTTCCTTGGCTCTGTATGCCAGGGCTCACAGTGCGTGCAAAGATCTGTTTGCTACGTGTAAGCAATATTTTCTACAGTAAAAAAAAAGTGTAGACAAGTTAAACATAAAAGGTGTAAAAGATGATATGTCTTTTCATTTATAAGCCACCATGGTATTTCATACAGGCTTATGTCAAAGAGATTAACCCACTGGAGCTATACTGTATATTTATAATTGCATACAAATGCATGCTATTGCTTCATATATTAGTCTTTGTTAAAAAATCATTTTGATATATTTGTTTTAGCAGCATAACTAGCCCTGGGGGCACTGGGTATAATTAGAAAAGGGCATGGGGGGAGGCGGGGCTTGTAGAATAAAGCAGTGGCCTTAGGATCACAGGTCCTAATTATAATTTATAATTAACCCCGGAATTTGCACAAACCATCTAAGCTAAACAAGGACTATCATTTTTGATGTTCAAATTGCAACCCTTTTTTTTTAATTTTGGCACCTGCTTTGTTGATGTTGGTGTTTTCGTGGCTTAAAACTTAAAAACAAGGGGGGGATTAGGAAAGTGGCATTTAAAACTTTTCCTATGAAATGTTTACAGTGGGAATTTACTAGTCTAGAGCCAACATAGCGAATCTGCAGCAGCAGAAGTGATCTGAAACTTGTTTACTTGGAATTAATTTTTTTCTTATTTGTTTTTCTTGCCTTTTTTGCCCTTCTGCTTCCCTCTCTGCCCACAACTTCTGCCGTACACCTCAAGTGTCTCTGAGCAGGAGCTATCGAGAATCGAATGAAATCGGGTCTCCACACAGACGGAGACATTTATGTTTTTTGTTGACCCAAATTCATAGACCCGAACCCATTTTGTCCTTCGTGCATCTGTATATACCATGTACCTACAGAACTTTTTGTTCACCCTTTTGCTCTCCTTTTATTGCCCATCACTGCTTCAGTGTAATAACGAGTGCGTGTGAGAACATCCATTTCCTCCAGCTGCATTTTAGCTAGCCTTGCTGCAGAAATGCTGCTCGCTGGAGGAGTCGGTGCTTCTGTCCATGAGATCAAATAGCAAATATCGAAGTTGAGCTGGAGACCTTTGCTGAAAACAAAATTGCCGGTAAGCATCAGAACGAGCTGGTGCGACTTGAGCTTCTCCTGGGGATTTTTTTCAGCCCCATCAGCCATGTACTGGAATTGTCTAGAGCACAGAAGTGAATCTTAAATTGTAGCACTGCTAAGCTATATACCCTTTGTGTTCTTGCAAAAGGGAAAATAAATATGTTCCCTCAAAAAGATTACATTTTCAAAGTATATTTGACTTGAATATTTAATTAGGTTTCCAAATTATCAAGCTAATAAATTAAGTGCAAGGCTTTGGGTAGTGTTTTTCCAGTTCTATGTATATCCTGCATTTGTCACTAATTAATGAGTTCCTAATGCTTCAGCTTCTGGGAAGATGAGCAACAAAGATTAACATAACTAGTAAATCCGAAGATGTGCAGCTGGGTTATAGTATTTGAAATTTGACAAAAACATTGGAAGTATTATTATTAGTGACATGGCTCAAGATGGGGGATTGTGAGGAAAGCAAAGATGACAGAACTGGTGCTAACCACTGTGACAACAACTTGAAAAGCAGCCGACATGACATCTTTCCTATCATGCTGCCGAAAATGTCAACTTTGTGAAGGACAGTGAGAAAATGGTTTGCCGAAAATTTGAAAGGTAGATTCAAGAGATGCTCATCATGTCAGATGCGATATAGTCCACAGCTGGGTGAGAAAGGGAGTCCTTGCCGTGGTGATGGCTCTCGGTTGGCAGGCCCTTCCAGACATCCGCGCTGCTCCAAAAATGGCTACAGCTGACCTGTAGATTGTCTCAAGTTTGCAGTAGCGTGATACACGAGAGCAGCGTGCATTTACACGGTGCAGCAGGCCCTGCGTGGAGGGAGCGGTGGCCAGAGCCACCAGGTTTGATGTTCTCCTGGCTCACAAAGACCCCAAGAAGGGCAAAGACCACATGGCAAAGCCTATGTGGTCTACGCGCACCTCAGTGGTTGGGTTGGCATCCCTTGGGGCGTCGTGACTTGGGCAAGAGACGCGTTGGCCAAAGGTTCCCTCACCAGAGCCCGCCCTCCATCTTCATGTGGGTCAGCATTTTCCAAGTGATGTTTCCAGAGCCACCACCACCCATCCGGGATGCGACTGATGCTCTTGTGTCAGCGCATTTCAGGTGTCTATCGTGAGTCGTTATGTGGTTAGCACTAAGTAACTGTTTCCGGCAAAACCAAAGCCCTTTGAATACATTGAGAAAAAGCGATTCATGTGAAAGGGCTGCGACCCAACCTGAGCTGTCAGATCCTGCCGTTAAATCTCACCGGTTGAGGTTATTGACCCAGAAAAGGGTAACATAACTTTCAGACCATTTCCAGTCCATCAGCAAATCACTGCCAGGGCAGGCGGCTTTTCCTGCATCATTTCTCAGCACTGATACAATTAACCTGGTGACGCTCCGCGAGCTGTTATGGGTACAGGGGGGGAACCGAATGCCAAAAGTCGAATGAGGGCTTCAACCCTGCCCCTTAATGTACGGCATTTATCGGGGTCTGCCTTGAATTATCTGCTCTTCTGCTCTGAGAGCAAAGCAGGCGCTGTGAGTTCGCAGCATCACAAAAGGCATGAACATCTCTGTCTGAATATTAAATATTTTATGGAACTTTGGATTAAAAATATATTAAGCATGTTCAGACATTAATTTTTGCTCAATATCTAATTTGGGTTTTTTTGTGGCTTGCTCATTTCTTCAAAATAACTAGTCCTAATTAGGTACTAATGAGACCAGATCCATACTTCCAAAACTGTTTATGAAATGTGTTCCCCAGCTGAGACATTTTATCCAAGTTTCAGCCTAAATCTTTTTTCCTTTTTTTTCTCCTTAATACACAACTGAATTTGGCAAATAATCAAGAAAAGATTTCTGATTAAATGCTCTTTCAATTTAAATACATCCCCTGGTATTCGAGTCTTTTTCTGTGTCCATGTTGCAAATTTTATTTAATATATATTTAGTTTTAAAATTTTGCACTAAATATCATGTGAGGTTTGCTAGTTCCTCTTCCGAAATGTTTTAATGGTTTATTCACCTGTGTTGGAATATCAGAGTTCGTCTTTATGATATTAAGAGCTTACTAAATGCAGGGTCAAGTAGAAGTGATTGTACAGATTTTATAGCTTTTAATTTTTTTATAGGGTTGTGGGTTTTTTTAAGTTTAGGGCCTTTGATTCTTTAAGAGGAAAATAAAGCCAACCAATTAACCCCTGACAGGAGGTTCATTAGAAGCTTTGTAATCCCTTGCCAAGTCTTTTGTATAACCAAACCAGTCTAGTACTGCGGATTTACGCAGCTTAAGCTGAACACTGGAGGAGGCCTTTAAGTAAGAACATTTGTTCAATTTTAAGACGTCTTGCATTACCTAAAGAGCGCCTGTGCCAGCAGAGTTGCCCAGGAGCACACAAATCCGTAGACTTTGCTTGCCGGCAGTGGGGAGCGGTGCCGTGGATTGTCTGCCTGGCCGATCCCTTTGGGGGATGGATGAGATTCCCTCTCTCCTCTCGCCCGGGATTCTGCCGCGCGGCGTATTTTGCCGTGTGGGTCTCGGGGAGAAGGAGGGGATTGCTGCTCTCGGATGGCTTGGCATCGGCAGAGGTACGGGGTGGAAGAGCACAGGGACTGCCGCATCATCCAGCCCCCGGAGAGCTTCGGCAGGGTTCGCCTGCACACTGTGCCCTGTGAAAGATGAGAAATACCCCAAGGCAGCAGGACCTGGGTGTCTCGCAACGCGTTCCTGTGCACTCCTGAAATACAAGAGTGGTGTAAATAGTCCCAGCAAATCTTTGATAAACAGTGTCAGTGCGTTAATGTTTATAAATGAAAATTAAATGACTGAAAAGGCATTGCATTTTCAAATGCAAAATGCGTGTCGCTCTCTAGGAAACATTTCGGCAGAATATATTGAAGATGGTTCACTACAAGAAATCACTATAATGGAGTGATTCAGCGGTCATGAAGGAGTGCAGCATTTTATATTCTGTTTGTATATACGCCTGTTGTCAATATTCTTTTATGCTGTGAATTGTGCTAAATTAGCAGCTGAATTTTTCTGCAGAAATTAAGTCCTTATTTTGCCAGCAATGGGCCCAATCCTGCCGTGAGAGCTGGCATTGCGCTCCCTGTCATATACCTACAATTAAAATGAGATTCTGCTTTTTCTGACTTACCTGTCACAGAAAAAATAAATGGGGAGGGGGGTGTCCACATCTCGATTATCCCTCTGAGTGAGGATATTTCTTTATTTGTTTATTTTTGATACCTCGGCAGTCGTGCTGCCGTGACCAGCCGTGTCTCGGCGTGGCACATCCTCTGTCCCGGGTCTCGTAGTTGGCGACATCCCTTTTGGAAGGGGCAGCGTGCGGTGTGCTGCGGGGGTGAGTTACCGGGGTGGCGAGGTGGAGTCTGAGTCATTCGTGGCATTTCTCCTCCAGACCTGACGGGATAGGAACCGTGACCGTAGACGAGAAAGAGCGTTTCGAAGAGATCAAGGAGCGGCTTCGTTTGCTTCTGGAGAATCAGATCACGCATTTTAGGTAAAGGCAGAGAGCCCAGGCTGAATGTGAGAGGACTGATTTCCTCCCAGCTCCCTCCTATAAGCAGCAAAGCCAAAAGGCAGGTTTTGAATTCATACGGGAATTTTGCATATGCGGCACAGACCTACACAGGGCAGTGGAGCTTGCACCGTAGCATGTTTGTAGCCAGAGAGTGATTTTAAATATATAACCTGTAAAGGATATTTCAAACCGTCTTGCTCCCATAGGCATGGTAATGCTGTGGATTTTTTCTAAAATTTAACAACAACAAAAAAAAACCCCTTATCCTCTTATTTCTCCATTCCCCTCTGCTCAGTTATTACCCATTTATTTTCCCTTCTCCTTACTATACAGACAGGCAGGGCTTTCTGCAGGGATGTCACAGTATGGAAAGGATGGATTCTGCCCCCACAAGAAGGGATGAATTGCCCCCCGCACACCAGCCGGGTCCCGGGCAGGTCGTGCACGTTTGCAGGCGGGCGGGGGCTGTGCATTCGCACGCAGAGTCCCCGCGTGAGCCCTTGGGAGCTGCCACTCACCAGGGACGGTGCCTGGTTCAGCCGGTTACCTACCACCCGGTGCATCGCCAGGCCTCCGGCTGGAAGTAAATGTCCTTTCCAGAGGAGCTTTTTTTTTTCCATTTTTACAAGAAGATGATATTTAACTCTCTCCTAGGAAATCTAAAAACTCTCCAGGTGACACCCAGATTTAATAAGCTGCTAAATCAGCTTATGACTACCCTGTATTCCGTTTGGCTGCCTTAGTGTCCGCACCATCAGAGCCTTTCGGAAAGTTACCCTGCAGAAAGACTGCTCATTCCGGGCAGAGGGACAGAGAATTGCTCAGACATATTTAGGAGAGCATCTTTATAGCTCTGGAAAGACTTGTTCACATGCACCTGATCTGTTGTTAACTTGATGTGGTTTTTCTAGGTACTGCTTTCCATTTGGCCGTCCAGAAGGCGCACTAAAAGCTACTCTATCGCTGCTGGAAAGGGTAAGCATAAGAATCACAGAGAGTAGTTAAAATTACCTATATTCATGTATCTTTCCATCCAGAACAGCTTGAGGAAGTGTTGCTTTTGCGCAGGATGTGTAATTAATTATAGTTGATATCGAAACGTGGGGGGTTAGGTGGGGCTGTTATCTCTCCTGCTTGAGCTCGGAGGCCGGTGTGCAGCCTGGCCACTAAAGGCAGCACAGCCCGTGTCTGCGTTGATCGCGGAGGGTGGAGGATCTCGCCTGCAAGCGCCTATACCCTGATAAACGACACCTGGCTGCTGTCTGGTGAAATTCCCATCTCGAGGCAGACTCGTTCCCCCTGAGTGTAGGAAACCTGCTCATCATCATCCTCCCCATCCCTATTTCTGCCCCTGCTGCTCCAACATCCTTCTCACCTCGCCTAACCTGCCGTATGGCTAAGCCCAGACCTAAACCAAAGTCAATCAGCAGAACCCGGGAAGGGCATAACATTGCCTGGCACTGGGCAAATTGTGATAGATCTTAATGTCATGCTCTAAAAAATCAGAAGCAGATTTCAGGGCGTGCCATAGGGTATAGTTACAGAAGGGGAGTAATATAGCAGGGGTAGGTCCCACGTCTCAAGCTGGCCAAGGTGACCTTGTAGTGGATCCTGCACATCATTGTACACACACCCCGAGAGCCACGCAGCGCTACTGTAGGAATGGATGTATGTGCTGGGCTTGGAGAAAAGCAGTGCTGTGTGCCCGATGCCACAACAAATCAGATTTTCTTGTGTCAAGGTTCTGATGAAAGACATAGTTACTCCGGTCCCTCAAGAGGAGGTAAAAACAGTCATCCGTAAATGCTTGGAGCAAGCAGCTCTAGTCAATTATACTCGACTATCAGAGTATGCCAAAATTGAAGGTAAGGCTCTTTCTTTGTGAAATTACAATTTTGTTATATTTCTAGGTGGCAACTGTGGCTGGGAGCTATTTAAAAGAAGCTCATTTGCTATTTATTCACTTGTCAATAAAACTGGCGTGATTCTGAATCATTTTTGTGGTGTTGGCTTCGGAAGCAGTTAAGAATGGAAGCTATGCAAAACGTTTCTTTTTCTGGAAAAGAGAGAGGAAACAGTTAAAAGAAACTGTAGTTGGGTGGGGTTTTTTTGATCGTTAGTGCATTTGGCCAGTGGTGTAGTATTCAGACTCGTCATGGTTTTAAAAAACAAATTGAGAAATACTTGGGATGTCATCTTTGCAGCTGAAGGTATAGTGCAGCTAATTGCTTGTGACAGTGGAGTTCAGGAAACAAATGAAAAATAAGAAGCTGAAAAACTGTTTAATCTACGCTTAATCATTTGCAGCCAATTTAAAATGTCTTTTTTCTGGGAGTGTTTCATTGTCTTTGCAGTTTGCATAGCAGCCATTGATCAGTGATCCTGTACTTGCATCAGATTTCTTTCTTGTCACTCTAAATCCTGCGTAGCTGATATTATTGACCTTTTAAGTTATGGGAGAATAATAACCAGTGACCAGAGACACATGTAGCCATCTAAAAGACATTTTAAAGCTTGCTAGAGGATACGCGTTAACTGAAGCTCTATGATCCAGTTGTTCTTTACATGTTAATCGGTTTATGTTGGTGCCTTGTTGGCTGCTATTCACAACCTGAAACTCCTACACAACTTTATCCGAGTTCCCAATTGCTTAAACCTGTATGTTCCAGATGAATGGTATGTTCTGCTCTAGACTTTGGGTTTCTGTCATGTGTGATGTGAAGCTTTCCCACAGCTGAGATTATCGTTGTGTGTCTCTAGGACAATATTGAGAGGAGAAAGAAAACCCCCAAAACTCCCTCTGATTTGTTCTTCGTTCTTGTTTACATGAAAAATTGGGATATTATATGACAAATTGTCCAGGTTCTGTACATGACATGTCCTCTCTTTTTCCATTTGTTTTCTGTCTAACGATGCAAATTGTGTACCAGTGGTAATGAATTCATTGTTATGCATCCAGTGAGAAACACTTAAGAATTGGGCACTAAAAGGATGTTTATCAACTCTTGACTTGGTAATGAGTGACAAAAATAGAGAAGGAACGAAGGTTTCATAAGCACTGTATTATCAGGCAATTTATTGAAGTACTCAACTTCACAGGATATTTTAATTGGTGTATTCTGTAAAATGCAATGTTTAAATATACTTGACGAGGATGGAGAAGGACTGAGAATCAAAAGCAGCTTTTCTGTTGATGGATGCTTCTACCCAGGGCTGGCTCCCTTAGGTTCTCTGTGTAAATATCACTAACTCGTTGGTAAGATTTGCTCTCTTCTTTCAGATAAATCTATGCAAAAACAAACTTTATGATCTGTAAGTAAAAATGCATTCATTTCCAAAGTAGAACAGTTAGTGTGTACTTTTCCTTTTGTGCCTCAATTCTTCTTGGTTGTGTTAATTATCTGCCCTCTTTTTCGCACTGTGACTTTTAGGTCTGGGAATACTTTGAAGCAACAAACCTTTTTTTTTCCAGCTACCTTTTCCGAGAAATAGTTCATTCCACACTACCTGCTCTCTTCTGCTTTTCTCCTCCTTTATCCGTGATTGGCCACAGCCACTTTTTGACACTATCTCTATAAAAGTGGTTGTAACACCAATTTCCAAGCATGCTGGGATTGTTAATTCGAACAACCCAACATCCGCCAGCTGCATGCATCAGGTTTTCTCTCATGAGCATAGTCCACTACACATTCAAATACTTCCTGAGAAGAGCATATAACAGATTTGCCTTGGCAAGACGCGTTCCTGCGCGCTGTACGTGGCTTTGAAACCTTGCTTTTAAAAGCTGACATTTGAATAGCCACGCGTTTAGGAGAGCTTTGTCAGAGATGCAAAACCAAATCAGTGGCAGCGGTGCTTGAGGCTATGCTTATGAAGAAATACCTGTGAAAGCCTTAGATACTGAAGGCTGAAATCCTTAGTATCTCGGAGCCTTAAACCAATGAAATTACTCATGACGTTTTGATCATTATATTCTTGCAAACAGTTCAGAGCAAACCTCTAGAGTCATGGTCACAGCCTCTCTTGTGACTCATGGGCATGCTGAATGGTTAATCCAGTAGATCTCCAATTTTAACCCTCCTTTTTTTTTTCTTTTTTTTTTCCCTTCCTTTTATCCTGTGTGTATCCCAAAATACTCTACAGCTACTTTCCTTTTAACCTAACATAAAGTTTTCCTCTGACCTGTAGCCTATAACCTCTTTACCTCTGACCTAAGCCTCTTGCATGCCCAAATCCTCTTTTATAGGGAAAAAGAGAGAAATGTATGAGCATCCTGTCTTCTGCTTGGCCTCTCAAGTGATGGATTTAACCATTCGTGAGTACCTACCACCCTCCTCTCCATGCTGTCCTCACTCTTTCTGTTTTTCATTACCTCAAGAAAGTCCAGATCCAAACCAACTCACTCTCCTTGCTTCAAGTCTTTTAGCATTGGCTTGTCTGTTGCTTCTGTCTGTGAAACCCAGTGTGAGAAGTCCAGTCACTTTTTATCAGCCTAAACCAGGTTAGACAATTAACCCATCTCGTTTGTGATAAACTCAGATCGTCTAAGTTTTTTCAGTTCTTCTTTATGTCTGTGACCTGAATGCATTTTTACTTTGCTTCTGTGTAACCCCAATTTGTAAAGTGCTTGTCACTGGTACACAATCAAAAGGTAGCAGCTACATCGGGGAGAAGTGAGCTAGAGGTCAGATAAAGGACACTCGGAAAAAGCCATCCCTTTGCCTGCGTATAAGATCTTTACCCAATCCTGTGTATAAGATCGTATAAGGCTGTCCTTTCTCTGCACATCAGATCTTACATGTCTCCTGTCTGTTAGCTCTCGAACAGAAGGATGCGCTTTACTTGCTCTCCTCCTCGATTTTTCACTGACTCCTTTGCACCGAGCTCTGGAGGGGACATCCCAGCTCCGCTGTCACTTGGGATCCCCTCTGTGTCCTCAGAGCTCGCCCTCTCTGGTTTTCTATTTGTGCAGCGTTTTCTTTCACCTCCGTGAAAGGAGTTTCTTTGGGTAACCCCATGCCTGGGGGGGCGGGGGGCGAGACCGGGCGACTTTTCTTCTTTTCAAATGTCATATATCACGCATAACTGGGGGGCTGTGCGGTCCACTTGCTCATTAATCCTGCATATCTGTTCTTGTTTCTCTCTTTTCTCTCCTTGTTGCTCTCTCTCTTTCATATAGAGAATCAAAAGGACGCAGGTGAACAATTGTATATGCATTATAAATTGCTAGGACTGTTGAGTTATATTTATTTTGTTTTCTTTTTTCATAGCTCCTTAAGATATGTACTCCTTCAGGCTGAAAATGGAGATGCATTAATACTTAAGGAGTTAATTTGTGCTGTCTACATAATCTCCTTTTCCTCCTTCCTTAGAGTAGAGTGTAGATTAGAAATACCTTATAGAAATGTTTTATCTTCGTAGGAGACAGTTTTAGAGAAGAATCTAGCCTTTGTAAAGAGTTTCTTGTTTTCCAAAAGAACTGCAGCTCATTTTGGGTGAAAAAATGTTGGTGATTTGGCCATTAATTTAACACACCTAACAAGCACATTTATAACTAAACTAACGTTCATTTTTGGTTTTCATATCTTCTGTTTTATGCCCTGATGGGAGGACTGGGTTTTTAATTTAATTTTTTTTTTTCTATTTTTTTGTTAATGTGTAACAAACAATCCAGTGGGACAGAAGTCGTGTTTGTCTCTCGTTTATAACCTGTGGTGACATGTAAGAAGGCAAAGGCTCAGCTCAAGGTCCCATCTCTTCAGAAGGGATGGTGGAGCTCTGCAGCCCCTGTTCTTGTTTCTGTTGTATCCCAGAGTCCTAGTTCAAAAGTCCTTGAAACTTGAATTGTTCATTTCTTTTTGTGAGTAGATTGTTCTGTTTTGTGGAGAAAAAATAAAAAAATAATTGGATTGATTTCAGCTCTGTTTGCAAAGGGAAATTGCTTTTAAAAAGCAGTGCAAGAGGCTGGGCCAGGTTCTGCCCTGGCTTCCCCAGGCCTCTGCAGCTCACATTTGGCCCAGGATCTAGAGCTATTGCATGACAGTACAATTAATTTTGAACAGCAATAAATATTTAGAAAATGGAGAATATTTTTTCCTTACAGCTATGAGAGGTGCAAATAAACAAATAGCAAATAGAACAATCCCAGCTATTACTATTAACTACAGCAGATTAAAGTGAGAGCAGGCTGTTGTGCATTAAGCACGATAAATGCACTGAGCATCGCGCTTGCTGGCAACGGCTCGTCACGTGCTTACAGTTTAGAAATTCAGAAGGACGTTTCTATGGCCCAGCTCGTTTAAAAATAAAACTGCTTCTTCTCGATGCTCAGAGCAAGTGAAAGGGCACAGGGAGTTCTGACTCTGCTCCTTCGTGCCTACAAATCTCCTGTTGTCTTATAAGAAAATTTTTTGGCCAAAGTCAGGAGGACTCAACTTGAAACCAATTCCTCAGCTTAACTGGAGTCAAAAGTGACTGGATTTTGGCCTGACTTTTTATTTATTTTGCCAGAAGCAAGAATAAAAATAAGATACTGAAAACAACTTCTTCTTAAACACACAAATGTCACCCTTCGCTCTCCTTTCTCCTGAAAACTGTGTAGCCTCGTGTCTTGCTTTAAAAATATTGATTAGAAATAGAACATTAAACAGAACACTATGCTAAAACAATTAAAGATGAATGACTTGCTGTAATTATTAATCAGACAAAACTACTAACACTCAGATTAATAAGTGCAACCTTTTAGTAAGCATTCGTCTGCTTATTTATATAAATTGGGAATCCATCATTCCTTTAGAAAAGAATAACTTCCCCATCCCTTAAGCACAGGATTGGTGAAATGTGCTGCACTGTGTTGGAGTGCCGTGGCACCGAGGGATCCCGTGAACACAAATGCCACTTTGCACTGCTGGAGTTGGGTACGGGCAGCTTCAGAGCTGGTGCCGCCCAAGGCGATCGTTGTCATTTTGGCAGTACTAACTGCCAAACTATATACTAAACTGTGTTTAGTATAAGATGTTTTCTTTTTTTTTGTTTTCTTTTTTTTGTTTGTTTTCAGACCAAGTATTTCTCGTATTGTCAGTTGGTTTTGGTCTCTGTAAAGAGAGGCTTCTTGTGGTACCGCTGAGTTGATGCACAGAGATGAGAAGTGAAGGAGATGCAGGGATGCAGGCAGCTCTGGCCTCGCTGCTTGGTGCCGGGGCGGCAGAGCAATGGAGCATGGACTGGAAGCGGGGAGTAACCGGAGAGCAGAGGGACCCACTGAAGTCCTGTTGCTCTGTCACCAAGGGAAATCAGCTGCTCTTGGGCCATCCAAAACATGCCAGGTTTTTGCTTGTCCCGCAGCCTCCCCAGCCCCTGTCCGGGGAAGCAGGGCTCCGGAGGCACAGCATCCTGCCACGCTGCATCGCTGGCGTGCACCATCCTCCCCAGATCTGTCCCTCCTGGCCCGGCTGGCGGGGAAGCCTGACTTCCCTCAAAAACGCACCCGGCGGTGGTGCCGGCCTGGGTGCAAAGCCGAAACCTGGTCAGTGCAGGGGCCGGTGCTGCCCACGGAGCGGTGAGGGGCAGCCGCGGTGCCCGTGCAGAGGCAGACATCTCTCAGGTGCCTGCGTCAGGCTGGGGATCTGGGTGCACCCATGGGAGAGGGACCGAGCACGGTGGCTTCGGTTGCGTCAGCCTCAGCTGGCACCGGCCGTGGAGCATCTTTTGCACGTAGCACTCGCCCCAGCAGACGTGGAAAGCATCCTCAGCCAAGGAAGCGGGTGCAGAAGAGGTCAGGTTTTGACTAGAGCAATACAACAGGTTGTTAAGAAGCAGTGGTATTTTTCAAGGCATTTGTACTGGCCTTTGTCACAGTCCCTCTGCTCACTTTACATCACTCACCTTCCCTGTTTCTGGATCTCAGCCTGGGAAGCTCTGTGCACGTATCCGTAACTCAGCGAGTGCACCCAAGTACTAGGGGCTAAGCTGCCTGTTGATTGACGTGGTCCGAGACAAGGAGAGGTCCTGTGTGATTTGTCAGCCCAGCCGCTGCTAGGCAATCACTCCCAGCATTTGTGATAAGCCACAAAGCTTAAAAAAAAAAAAAAATTACATTCTCCAAATAAATATGGATGCAAAATGTATGAAAACATCAGTCTTTGTATGCGGGAGTGGAGACTGAAGTCATTAATAAATCATGCACTTTAACTCAGGCATGACTACAACCTTCGCTTGTGTGTGCTGCTGAACTGCTGCTTTATTTGTTTCATTCCTTGAAGTGGCATTTGGTTGTGTTTAACGAGGAATCGTTACTCAGCTTTCAAAATTTCCTCTCGTTTAAAGCAGTATCAAAGTTATTACAAGAGCTTCAGAAATCACAAAGATCTGCACTGTGCCATTATCTTTCTACAAGTCTCTTACCAACTGCAGAGCAACTTGCTGCCTGAGGCATGACATATAATTCAGATATGCAAAAATTCCTCAGTAGGCTGAATAATCATCAGAAAGTCAGGAGATCAGTTCTCTTTTCAGTATGTTGAGTTTTGAGAGCTGAATTAGAGTCTCTTTCTGAATTGAAAAATAAACATTTCTATGAATTTTTCTAACTTTTATGATAATGCATCTTATTTTGAAAGAAAAACTGGTATCATCACTGAAATCACTTTCAGATACATGCAAATTCATTTCACGAATATAATAAAAGGCTGCTCTGCCTCATCCTCAGGCTAAGTCCATTATTCTTTATAGTTATCTTGAGAACAGCAGCTCTTTTTTATCATTTTCATGATTGGCTTGGAAATGAATGCACATGTAACCCTTACATACCAAAGCCTTTGGCAGGGGTCGTATATTTTTAATTATTACAAGGAAACCATTGAGTCAGTGGGTACGCTTTTAAAAAATACGAAAAGTCAACAATACTCTTCTCCTATTGCAAATGTAATTCTCACTGTTGCTGATGTGTTAGTAGCCCATCTAGCAGAAATCAGGGTGCTGAGTGAGAAACATGTAGTTTGAAAATCTTCCAGTCCCCAAAGAGCCACACGCAGTGAATTGTATACAATATACATACCCAAAGCAGCACAGATTTTTTAATGTACCTGTTATACTCATTGCAGGCTGAAACTTATTGCAAGCACAACTCCAGTAATTCAAGTTTCTGCAAGTATTTTATTTGCAAGTATCATGCAGAAGCGTAAAATCCTTTAGCGGAAGATTGTCCAGGAAAGCACTTTGTCAGGTTGTTGGTAAGGAAGAAGCTGCTCCTGCCTCTGATTTCAGTGATGGAGGTGTTTAAATCTTACCCATTTGCGCACATGAGCAGCGAATACAAGAGCATTTCTGATGCTAAACTGGCTGTGGCGAGGGATTAGAAAGGAAAAGGACAGGGAAGAAAGAAAAGCCAAAGTGAAAAAAAACCTGCCACACAAGCTGCAGCTGATCGTTGGCAAGTGCCGTAAAACCCATCCAGCATTACGCATCTCCCTCGCTCCGAGCAGGAGCCGAGCCACCCTCACGTATCATCTCCGAGACCTGGACCCAGAGAAGCACGTGAGCTCCAGCACCTCCCAGGGCATTGCAGTCACAGGCCCATTTGCATTTAAATTTACAGATGAAATTAATAACTTTCCATAGCAAGACCTTTATCTTTTAAATTTTCTTGCAATAAAGAGGCATTAAAGAAAAGTGTGGGTCAGTGCTCACAAAGTGTTCAGTGCCCTGAGGAAGGGAGAGACCTCTTCCTCTCCTCTCCTTTAGCTCCCGGTGGTTTTGCAGTCATCGTACAAGAGCCCTGGCTTTGGGTCTGAAAAATTTAAATGAACAAAAGAGCTGAATATTTGTGCAGATTGGGCCAGATCAGAATTACATCAAGACTTTGTTGCTTAACCTGCTGTAATCCCTTGTGGAACCTTGTTTTCAAGAGCCGGTGGAGGCGGGGAGATGCCCCGAGCAGGGGTAAGGCGCTGGGGGGGATCTCTCGCAGACCTCCCAGGGAAGTGGAAGCCACCCCGGGACACTGTGCTGACAACCGCAGAGCGGGAGCCTCCTCCAAGCCATTTTGTACACGCTGCACTAGCGATTCGTGAAGTCCCAGTGCTGCTGCATCTCTTGCCTCGTCCTCCTCTTCCTTCTCTGCTAATGGCTTTTCCCTAGGACAGAAAACATTTGCACAAGTCAGGCCCATTTGACGCTATGGGGTCTGGATGTCCGGGAAGTCTGAAATCCATTTTTTGATGGGTAGCTGTTGGTGATGTGGATGCTGGACTCACATTCAAGGGTGCTTGAGGGTCGCAGAGCTGAGAGGCGTGGTAGGATGCAATTCTGGGATGTGATTTTCCCCTGGCTTTGATGTTCTTAGGAGGAGCTCTCTCTCTTTGACTCTCCCAACTTTGGAGCCCAACGGACTCCCCTGGGTGGCCAGGGGCTCCCACCACTCGGTTGCCAGAGACGGGTGGGAGGAGGTGCGTGATCCCCTTCTCATCCAGGGACCTTGGCACAAACTACCCTTCGTAGTGATGGGCAGTAGCATACTCATCCTACACCTACATGTTGAGCTCAGGAGCCATCAGTGAGTAGCCAAATTGAATTCTTGCTTGTGTTTTAAATTAGAGTGAAAGTCATTAGGCCAATGCCAAAAAAGCAGTTATTTTTGTCACTTGAGGCTGAGAGGTTTGTGTCTGGGGACAAAGCCACCCTTGGTACACGTTGAACAAGGATCAGGATGACTGCAGAGATGAACACATAGATTTGCTTTTCCTGTTATCAGAAAATGACCACAAAAAAAGTAAACCAGTAGCTTGAATCTAAGAGTCTGAATTAAATCATTACACAGCTTAAAAGACTAAAAATATGTGTGCGTGTGTGTGTGCGCACGCACGTGTGCATTGTATGTGTGTTTGTGTACGTATGTGTATCTGTGTATGGAGAGGGGAACCAACCTAACTCATACTCTAACAGTTTACTCGAATATTCTTTATTATACTTTGATAAGTGTTATAATTCTGTGAGAATTAAAAGCAATCAGAAATCTACTTTGCACCAGCCAACCGATTTTTTTTCCCCCCACTGGAAAATGCAAGCAAAATGGCAAGGACTTTTGGCAATAGAATGTCCAGATAAATATGCCAGATTCCTTGCAAATGGCATTATTAAAAATAGTCACAATGCTGCTAAAAACTGTTATTAAATGGAATAGAAACTATTGTGTTAATATATTCACAGTATGTAATTTATTCACTGAGTGTATGTAAAAGGAAAGGCTATTTTCTTTGAATTTTTCTTATGCTGATATTGTAAACTATATGACAGATGGGTCAAGTCCTGATTGCAGTATTCTAACATTTGGAATAGCAAGTAACATATTTGATAGAGCTGGCAAGTTTTTATATATGATTCAACCCAGAATATAAAAGCCACTAGAATTCCAAGTTGAAAATAATTAAATGAGCTGGAAACGATCAGGAACTACACATTTTTAAGTGACAGATTTTTTTACATGTTTAAATTGCACAAGAATATTTTATAGCTCCCTTTAACCAACAGTGACGTTTAATTCTAAAATGTGTAATTGATATTTGCAAAGCAATTAATTCCTGTGGCTCATTATTCTATTGCTAAATGTACCTAAGCAATGGGGCGCTGACTTAAAGCGATCTTTTTTAGTTCACCTTTTCTAAATTCCAGAGTTTTAACTGAATGACCCTAATTCAGTTTCCTCACGTGGCTGCATGAAGTGCAGTTTCATACTTGCATTGAATTTTTAGCTTTCTGATTGCATAGTACCGCAGGACGTTCGAATCTGCTGACTTCTAGAATACGTGTTGTCAAATGGTGTCATTACTGTGTAATACTTCAAGTACCGATAAGCAAAAACCTAGCAGCTTATTCCATTTGTATTTGATCATTTCTGCTTATGTTCCTTTCGAAGTTTCCATCTTTTTGTCACTGTTTATGAAGTCATTTGTCTCTTTACTTTTGGTGTCTCTCTCCGTCATGCACAAGCAGCCCGTCCGTCCAAGCCCAAGCCGCCGGCTGGGCCACCATCATCTCCTCAAACGCAGACTAACATGATAAATCATATGCTCAAAGGCATGGCCAAACAGCCGCCAAGTACTGTAATAGTCTTCCTTCCTTTTATTCGGTGGTTTTTCTAATCTAGCAGTTGCTTGTCTAGCAGTAGAAAGCTAGTTCTCATGTGCAGCTTTATACAAAATACCTAGCGCGACGTGGTAGGTTTTAGAGACTTAGAGGTAGCATTTATTTCAAAATGTCCACATTTTTTTTGTCTAGCAATGTCTGACATATGCAACATTTTCAAATATCAACGTCAGCACAAAATAACATTGTTGTTGCATAACATTTTGCATGAAAACTATAAATATGTATGAGCTTTACATGATGTTGGATGAAATGTTTGATAAGTATATCGTATACGTTTCATGTAACTGTCAGTGCTCCAGCTATCTTAGCAGAATATTCTGATGTATAGTAACTTAACCAGGGAAATATTTAAAATAAGAAGAAAAAAAATTAAGATTGACATCTGCTGGCTGCCAAAGTTGTATAAGCATCAATATTTTCTTTAAAGACAGCATCTCTGAGCAGTTGTTCTTATTAACACTTTTGTCTTTTAGTTGTATTTGAGAGCAGATCAGTGTTGCAAATGAGAATGGGCCTGATGCTGCTCTGATCAATGGAGAAGCTTCCCCTTGGCTTTGGAGGTGCAGAAACAGCCAGAGCTTACTAAGGGACATGTCTTTGGGCTCCTTTTGCACAAAAGGAAGAGATTACTCCTTCTTGTAGCCAGTGAGGAGGAATGAGGAGTTAACCAGTAGTTCTGCAATTTCAGTATTTTGTTAAGAGAAACGTAGATTTTTTTTTTGCTTCCAGAAGAAATGAAAGGGAAACTGGAGAAGAAACCCCCAAGCCCCTATTTGTGGCATAAATCAGCAAAAATGTAGAATTTGTTTGCACGGTGCTTTACCATGTTGCATCTCTCAACCAAGCTGAGCACCTGCAATGCCAGACTTCAGCTGACTGGGTTGCTGAGCTCCTCTGAAAACCAGCCCATGTACCGCTTGCTCAGCCACCCAAATGTGACCTTTTTGAAAAATATGGCTTTCCTTTTTGTGGGAAATTTGTCACCTGTAAACAAGTATTCAGGGAAAACTAGGAGCAGGCAAGATTTTGAAGGGAAGAATTAAGTTCTCAAAGCTCACCGAGCCTCCAGCCAGGCAGGGATGTCTCCCCGGGTGACCCAGTAGAGCAGAGCGATGCCATCTGCATGCAACCACAAGTTTCTGTCCTATCAGTAGAGAAGACCTAAACACTAGCTAAAAACTAGTGCATGCAGAAGGCTGGAGCGAGATGCCCAACCAGCGCCTTGCCTGTCGGCACGACCCAAACTGCTGGCTTAGCTGGGCTCCTTTGGAAATCCCAGGGTGGTTGCTAGTAACGGTGCTTCAACCCATGCACTGCTAGCGTTTTGCTGTGTTGGGGACATACAGTCTGTTGTACGTGGCTAATTGCAGATTGATTTGGCTGTTTGGTTTTTGGTAGTTCACCCATTTACAAATTCTCCAGCTTTGATGTCATGGAGAGGCCAAAATATACATCAGTGCAGAGGTACGAATTGGCTGGTGTAGCTACCAAAGCGCGATGCTGTTCTTCGTCCTCGCAGCACTAGAGAGCCGGGATTGGCGCCCGGAGGGACACGTCTGTAGTTAACATGGTGACGTGCTGCAGCGTAGGTAGATCCCCGGGGAGCAGCTCTCCTGCTCCGCTTCTTCTCAGGACGGCCATCGCAGGGAGATTTTGCAGACCTCAGGGAAGTGAGCTGTGGTGTCCGCTCATAGAAAGCTCCTCGGTTGCACTCAGCCAGCTCTGTCATTCAATGAAAAAGTGATTATTTTCTTTTTCTCTATATTATTTCTAGTGAAATACTCTAAATGTTCCAGATTGTTAGCACCTCAGATGTTTAGTATGTTATTAATAGTATAAATTACCTAGAAGAATAGAATTTAATTTTTTTTAAAAGTCTTCAGAAAACACTGCAAAATAACTCAACATAGCTGAACACCAAGCTCCAGGATTTAAACTCTTTGGTTTGTTTGCGGGATTTTTGCTGTAAAGTTGCATCTCTTTTCCTATATAGATCTTACCTATGAACGCCTAGTGGGATTTACCACTTTCCACTCCCTCCAGCATGCGTAACTCCTTGACCCTCGTGGAGTTAAATCCTGGAGCAAGGCAGACCTGCAATTTTTGCTTTCAGTAGCAGGTGACATTTAAATTGTCTGACAATTTATTAAAAGTACAGACAGATTTGTTTGAATCGATCTTCTTAAAAGAATTTTAAAATAATATAGACGTGATTTCTATAATAGCATCATCTACACTGAAGGATACATATTGTGCGTGTATTAGTGGCCAGATGCTGTCTTTAGGGAATGCAATGTTCTTATTTGAGCTAATAAAGTGCTGCCATCGCACCATAAAGCAAAACAACTCTGACAGTATTGTGAAATTTGGAGCTGGAGCACTGTATTTTCGTAGTATAATAACGAATGTGGCTTTCTGGTTTGCTCAGTACTAATTATATAAGCATTTAACATATGCATGAAAAGATCTTTAAAGCTGTAGACTATTATGGGATATTTTTTTTTAACCTCTAAAATAACTTACTGTACGTCTAGCTTTTCATTCTGCCTCCCTTTTAACTCGAGTTCTTGTACTACAGAAAATGTAGGCCGGTTAGTCACACCAGCTAAAAAGTTAGAAGATACAATACGTCTGGCAGAATTGGTAATTGAAGTCCTACAGCAAAACGAAGAACACCATGCGGAGGTGAGCAGCGGTGCCCTGCGAGGTCGTGTCCCCCAGGTCTTCAGCAGGCTCCGGTGGCTTGCTAGGAGCTTTGTATGTTTGTGTGATGTCTTCCCAACTGGTGCTGGGTTATCTCCTTTAAAAGCCGAAAGTATTAGTAAATAATGGTGCTCGAGTGCGATGAAGGCAAAGTGCAGTTCAGGAAGATTGCTTTTGCAGAGGGGAGGGAGGGCTAAAGGAGGAATTAATTAGGTTCTCCTCTACGTCACTCTGCAGCCTTTTATACAGTGCCAGCAGGAGCCGAATCTGGCCAAATATGTTCACCACCAGCTACACACAAGAGCGAGCCTGGCCACTTTTCAGAAAGGTCGTATTTCCAAAAAACTGTCACGTGTTTGTGCCTCCAGACAGCATTAGCGGGGTCCTGCAGCAGCTTACCGCTCCTGCTGCCCAGAGCTGGAGCAAGGAAAACCACCACAAAACAAAACCATTCTTTTTTTTTTGTCCCTTTCTGAGCGTTCAGGTTGTTTCCAGGGGTTTCCCTGGGCCCCTGCAGTACATGATTAACTCACCTGGTCTCCTGTTGGCTTCTTCTGCCTTGGCTTACTGGGAATACCTCAATTACTAGTCACGGAGGTTAGGGTGAATTATTCTCATTATTTGGGTTATCTAAGGCCTAATAAAACTACTCTTAACTCTTCAAAGCACTTTAACAAAAGGGTTCATGTTTTAAACCCACTGAAACCATGTCATGGTCAAACATAGACGAGAAAATCATGAGGCTTGGTCCTGGAAACACTTGACCCCGCAGGCAGGTGACATTGCTGGCTGTAGTCCCGCTCTCAGCACGTCAGGACATTTCTGCCCGAGCAAGTGATGTTACATACCCGTGTAAGTATTTGCAGGATTGAGCCCTCTGTTCTGTATAGATCTGGTGCTCTCAGATACATGTTGAAAAGTTAATCGTTTTGAGATTGAGAGTGAACAGTTATTGTTTATGACTGTAGGTAATGTAACACTCATTCACTATTTTCTTTCCTTCCCATAGATATAGATATATATACTCACTATATTTTGCATTAAGAGCATTTAATAATTTCACAGTCACCTAAAAATCATTCCAGTGTATATTAAATTTGCAGTATAATTTAACTTATTGATAATACACAACAATCCACAACACCCAACTAATGCCTGATTGCATATTTAAATTTCCTCCCTGTTTTTCTACTGTTCATTCAATCTTGGATGATCCTGGCAGGGGAAAGAGGTATGTGACTAAACCGAATGAAACGAGTCACTCCTGTCATATTTCGTGCATGCCCTCTCAGTGCCATGTTTCCTACTGGGATTTTACCCGGGTTGCCCTCGCTTCCGTAACTTTGACCGAGGAATGTAACAGCAACTTCGAGTCGGCTGCTTGCAGAGCTGGTAGCCTGACACAGGAGGGTAAATGTGGCATAGCAGTCTGGTCCATGCATGTAGCAATGGGTATATTTTACGAGCGCTGCAGTTACATCCCAACACAACCCTACCTGCCTGGACTCTCTCCTCAGCCTGTTGTTACCTCTGTCGTTTTGCATTCACCCGACCTCTAGTACACTGTGGTGGAGATGGACTAAGTACTACACGAGTGCCTAGAATGGTAGTGGTCTTCCTCTGGTTTTGTCTGTATGTGCCTTGTACTGGATATACAGTATTTATATGTAGAGAGAGAATATACGGGGTGAAGAGTGAAATAAACTTATTTTCACAAAAGCAAGGGGGTGCTCGAGAGCGCCGCGCTCGCACACAAACTGCAATAACCTGTCCAAGGATAACGAGTGTTTTATTCCACTCATCACCAGCACAGGCTGGATGTACGAACCAGCCGGGAAGGAGCTGTCATTAAAATGCAGGTTATTTTGAAAATAGTAGATTTCTGAAGGAAGCGGTTACAGGGCCGGTCGCGTTCAGCCAGACACGCTTCCTCACCAGGAGGAAGACTCAAAACTGTTCTCCAGCATCTTTTGTGTCACAAGGTTTTGATTAGAGACAGAAGGTTAATGTCAACATGGATGGGAGGCATCCCGGTCCCTTGTTCTGAACGATGACCTGGAAGGGTGAAATTCATCTCTCTCCAGAAGCCTGGCACACTGTCGGTACGTTACTGAATCCCTGTCCTGAGGGTGGCTGTGGCATTTCAGCAGTGTACAGGCAGTTGGCCAGCTCTCTGCACACTTGGAATTGCACCCAAAGGAAGAGAGAGAAGAGGCTGGGTGGTTTATCGCTGATTTTTATTATGCATTGTATCCACATTGCGATCTCACTGTGCAATGAGAATTGCTGCTGAGGTATTGCGCTCTTTTTTTTCCCAAATTATTGCAGGTGAGGGTTTTTTGACATGTTGTCCTTTCACCTGGAGAAGGTTCGACCTGCAAGGTGCGACTCTTCGGTCTACTTTGGATGTTCAGCAGAAAATTAAATTGCACCTCTTACTGAAGAAATGCCTTAATTTACTGAAAACCAACAGTTTTTGCAATTTAAACATGCCCCTTTTTTCCCTA